CAGGTGCAGGTAAAAGTGGTCAAGATAACATAAATTCACAATTGGTCATTCAGGTATAGACCCACTTGTGCTTTTTCTACTTCAGCAAGACTGACAGTTGAATTCTTTAACAGGAACACACCGGAGTGATAAAACATCCACCTTATTCTCCTGATCTTGCTAAGTGTGGCTTTTGATTCCTTTCTAAACTAATACTAAGTTTATATGGTCATTGTTTTCATTCCAAAGATGAAATCTGTGAGGCTATAAAAACATATTTTCCATAGATTCCAAGAAATGGATAGCTTAAAGCATTTAATCTTTGGAAAATTCATCTATAAAAGGGCATTGATATTGGAAGAAAATACTTCTAAAATTTGGTAAGTTTAACTTGTATCACTTAGCTGAATCTCAAAATTTAATTAGGACCCTTGTACAATGTCTTTATCAGTTTTATGTAGGATCTTACTAATTTTTAATTGCATGAGGAAGTTTTCTAATTAAATTTGCTATGAGAAGCATTTTCTTCTTGATACTTTTACTTCATGTGGCTCTTATTTAAGTTACATTTTATCAGAGAGTATCAGACAATTAAAACTGTCATATTCATAACCTATCTTTTAATTCATTTCTTAAGCTGCAAGCATGGGTTTTGAATAAACTGTTCAAGATAACATTTATTTTTTAATTAGAAGCAAGATAGATAGTAAATCAAATTAATATTAGACATCATCAAAATAAAATTTTAGATGTTCATAATCTCAAACTGTAACAGAATCAACTCTGTTCGAGTATACAACATCAGCTTTTAGAGCCCACCAGTGGTTAAATATCTAGCTCCTGAGAACATGTAATCCATTTCGTGTTATATTTTTGCTGAGGGAGGTTTGTTGTTTAATCCCATGCAGAACGGGAATATGAGTATATTTCTGTTAAAAAGTCTTTCTTGAATCCTGTTGTAGGTAGCTGTCATATGCTTTTCTTTACTTAACATAAACTAACACATTTTGCAGTTTTAAACATTGTGATTTTGATCATAAGATTATTTTCTGTTATTCCGAAGATAAAAGTATTGTAACAAAATCACATCTGGCTATTGTATTGAAATTAATGCTATATTTCCAGTGACAAACAACAGTCTCAGGTACTCTTTTATTATCGGGACTGGTTTCAGAAATGTATTGCTGAAAAATGCCCAGTTGTGATGAGGTAGCTTCCTAATTGAGTGGGCTTAGGGTTTCAAGAAAGTTGTAGGGAAAGGCAGGGTTGCCAGGTCTGGTACAAAATTGCCCATTTGGCAACAAAATGGCAATATAGCATAAGCGAAGTAAGAACATTCTAGAACGCATTCTTGGCAGTTTTCCTCCAGAATGTTCCTAAAGGTAGGATAAAGTTATATAGTCAAAAGTCTTTAATCCGGACTCGTCGGGACTTCGCCGATTATCGGATTATCGGTTTTTCTGGATTATAGATCATCAATTTAAATCTGGTAAGATAGCATGCAGAAATTATAAAATTAAAAATATGAAACCGTAATTTATGAAATAAAGAGCAATTATGATCTAAAAGGTATCAAAATTTATAAAAAAAAAAGCTTAATATTTATTTGTTTACTTTATTAAACATTTCTTTCAACACGCGCATGCATAAAGCATACATTACGCATGGTTGAAATTAGAAAATTGCAACCAGAAAACTATTTGATGTGTATTCATGATATTTATAATGACGAGGAATTTGATTTAAATCATATCAAAGACAGAGTACATCGAGTTGAAATACTACATTTAGTAAAGAATTATAAGCTGAATAGAATAAAAACATCTGCCCTAAAGATAAGGGTAGTGCTGACAGATCAACTTTCAGTTCATTGCGCTCCGCGACGTTTCCGCCCACCACCGCAGAGCAGCGTGAAATTGATAAACAGATTTTGGAATGGTTAGAAAAAACGATATGCCTTTACCCATTTTTTGCAGCAATTCCACTTTTTGTCTGAGGGACATAGAAACATGCTTTCGCTTTCTAGATCCTTTGGCAGCTCCAGAATCAGAAATTCTTTTTGACATAATCCAAAATTCAAGCTTGCTTTTATAAAATTGCTCTAACAGTCTGCAAAAAATAATAAGCTGGATCCAATTCAAAGATTAAGGAACAATGCAATCTGCAACATTAACTAATATAGATAATTTTAGCTTAGCTTATACCATCTGTTATCATTAAACGCGCATGCGTAAACTTATTATGCACATGCATAAAGGTATATGCACATGTGTAAATGCATAATGCGTTTACGCATGCGCAGAGAGTTTGTAGCTTTGAGGTCCGTAATATAGGTCATTCCGGATTATGGACGTCCGGATTAAAGACTTTTCACTGTATGTAACCTATCTGTACATGGTGAGAGTAATATGATGAGTTCAGTAGTAGTATCAGTAGTGTTAGTGCATAATAGAGTATCTTGAGTTATTTTGCATAACAGAGTAGCTTGAGAGAAATCAACTGAGTCGGGAGCTGTACTTTAGTGCTTTGCTGTGAAGCTGTTTTCTCCGTTATAACCTGAAGGCTGTGTTGCTGATTGATTCAGCATGTTCCTCGTAGTTTCTCAATGACTGTAAACAGGTCTTTGGAAATGTCCTATGTAATACTGGCGAATAAATTGTGTTTCAATTCTTCATCGAGTGTTATCATCAATTACTCCAAATCCTTGAACTCGTAGAATGCAACATTATGTATGGATGTATGTGTTCATGAATGTGTGTATATATGTACCAACATATGTATATGTGTGTGTATATATGTACTAACATATTGTTATGAAATGTACAAGCGCAGTAAGAAGGATTCCCCGCAAAGCAGGTTTAGGGTTGCCATAAAATGGGAATGGAAGGCAGGATTGCCACATTTGGCAAGAAATCGCCTATTTGGTGACAAATTTGCGATATGTTATGGACGGATGGAGAACCTTCTGGAACGAATTCTTATCCCAGAATGTTCTCGAACACCAGCCAAAAGCTATATAAACCCTGCTGGTATGCGGAGAGTTAGTTAGTATCGAGTTGGTGTCTCATCTAGCGAGTCAATCCCTGCGGAGTCGATCGAGTTGACAGCCAGGCAGCGAGTGCCGACTGGGTCGTCAAGTGCACCGAAAGAGTCTTGTAATGTATCGCGTTTAGTGCATCATCGAGAGAACGTGTTGAGCTCCAGGAACAACTGAACCTAAGAGTCGGGAGCTGTGCTCTGTGTTGTCGAGTGCATCGCGAGTTGTAGCGTGGAGAGTTTGGAGAGTACGTGGAGTTCCGAGAACGACCAAGCAGAGTCAGAAGCTGTACTCTGGTGCTTTGCAATGAAGCTGTCTCCACCGGGATAGCTTGATAACCTGAAAGCTGTATCCCTGATCGTGCCAGCGTGTTTATAGTAGATCGTCGACGATTATAAAAGTGTTTTGGAGCTGTCCTGATTAATATTGGTAAATAAAGTGTGTTTTGATACTTCATCAAGTGCTGTCATGGTTTTCACTCCATATCCGTAGGAACCTAGTAACGTAACAATATGTATATGTGTGTGTACATACATACACGCGTGCATACTTACATACATTTCTAAATTCTGTCCCAATAACAAAAGAGTACCCTATCCCAGTCTCCTTTCTTAAGAAATAGGAATAAAGACTGGCATTTCATCTCTTGAGCCTTTTCATCTGGTATTAATGGGTAAATAAAACCTAAATTTTGCTCTACTCTTTTTCTAGTAATAGTAATGATTGTTTATAAATGATTGCTTATGCTAAGGAAAAACTTATTGTAGAAACAAATAATGATTATGGTTGTAGAAACAAATAATGATTATGGCTTGTTCAATCAAACAGTTTTATTTTTGGCAGAAACTACTTTTTTTTTTTTTTTAATACTGTAAAGAGTCTACATATGATAATTACTTTTTCATTTTTCAGTTGTGTTAAATACAGTCAAAAGTCGTTAATCCGGACTCGTCGGGACTTCGGCGATTCCGGATTATCGATTTTTCCGGATTATAGATCATCAGTTTAAATTTCGTAAGATGGCATGAAGAAATTCTAAAATTAAAAATATGAAACCGTAATTTATGAAATAAAGAACAATTATGATCTAAAGGGTATCAAAATTTACAAAAAAAAAAAAAGCTTAATATTTATTTGCTTACTTTATTTAACATTTCTTTCAATGTAAGTTGTTTCGTTTTATGTGATAATACTTTCTCTTTAATTCTATAAACAGACATAATTTCTTGTTCAGTTACAAAGTTCCGCTGCTCAAGTCCCGTAATTGCTGTGCCGAGAATACCGACTAACTTGTCAATCGAAATTTTTTCATTTTCACTAACCTCTCTGTCACCTTCTTCATGTCTTTATCCATTTTTTGCTGCAATTCCACTTTTTGTTTGATGGACATTGAAACATACTTTTGTTTTGTAGATCCTTTGGGAGCTCCAGCATCGGAAATTCTATTTGATATAATCGAAAGTTCAAGTTTACTTTTATAAAATTGCTCTTACAGTCTGCAAAAAATAATAAGCCGGATCCAACTCGAAGATTAAGGAACAACGCAATCATCATTATTAACTGAAATAGATAATTAGATAATTTTAGCCTATACCGTCCGTTATACATAAAACACGCACGCGAAAACGTATTCTGCGCTTGCGCACATGCATATGCGCAGTCGTAAAGGTCTTACGCACACGCGTAAACGCCTATGCGCATGTGTCAACTCGGCGCTTGCACAGAATGTTTTTAGCTTTGAGGTTCGGATTATAGATCATTCCGGATTATGGGTGTCCGAATTAACGACTTTTGACTGTATTAAATTTTGCTAAAGGTATATTTTTTTATTTAAAATGAATTGATTTCAAACATTTTTTAGGAGTCTTCATAATAAAAATAAAATGTACAAAGAAATGTTATTAATATATTTGAATAACTTATATTTTATGTATTTGAATAATTTTTTGGAAAAAAATTTGCTCTTTTATATGAATTATTTTAGGGTCTTTTGTGATTACTGGGCATAGTAATGGATGTCTTTGTATTTGGAATCAATATAATGGTGAATTGTGCCAAAAGATTTTATGTCATTTAAAAACAATAACTGATATGGCTTTGGTTGATCTGCTTAATCTTGGTAAGTTATTTAAAAATATTCTTTAAGTAACTTTTTCCTTTGTAAGTATTATTTTTGTAAGCACTTTTTTAGACTTCTTTGAAGTATGTTTAAAATGGGAAAACGATATTTAGGTCAAATGATTTAAGTAGATAATTGTAATAATTGTAATTAAATGCAATGTTTAAAAAATAATCTAAAATTTTAATTTAATTTGTAATGTGAAAAATATTTTAAGATAGTTAGCAAAATTAAATTCTGTTATTTTCTTTGTAATGAGTATAAGTTGATGACTAAAAATCATTTAGTCGAATAATATGCCAGTATCTTTTCTGTTTATTCTGCATATCATCTGATGAAAATTTTTTAGTTTACTAGTACACTGGTAAATTTAAAAGTGAAAATAAATTTGAATTTTTTATATCTAAAAAAATTAAATGCTTCATGTGTTGCCTTTGTTGTGCATAATTATTAAATTTTATTACAGGTTCTTACTATGGTTCAGAAGAACTTCCATGGGCTCATCATCATATTATTACGGTTTCTAAAGATTATTATATTCAAGTGAAATCCTTATTGGAGCCAATAACAATTAGTAATTCAAATGAAATGCTGAATTTTCACAGTGATGTTTTATGTGGTGTAAGGTATTGATAGTATTCTTAAAGTATTCTTTGTATATATAAGGAGGCAGTAATATATTTCTAGTAAATTTCTTCTTGTAAAAGTCTTCATAAAAATAATAAAGAAAAAGGGGTAAGAAAGGGAAAATAAGTAAATTTTCCGGTCAGAAAAGTTATAAAATTCATGTTCAGATATTCAAAATTTTAAATACTTTGTTTATATTTCATTAATTTTTCATAATTACTTGAATTTTTGGTATTTACATAATTAGTGTGATCACCTTAGGGCAGTTTACAATTTTCTGTAGAAGAAAAAGAACAATGACTTATAATTTACAAAGAATTATTTATTACATACATATTTTATTTTTTAATTAAACATTAATCCCAAAAAAACAATCAGTAAACTTATATACAAGTTTATTTTTGTGGGGGGATGTCTTGGTGTTTTTTCAACAATTTTTTGCCATCAGTTTAGATTTAAGATTTTTTTTTTCCCCTTTAGAGGTTTTCTGGCAGCTGTGTTCCTGCTGAAATTTTACCTCAATTTTTTCCATTGCAAATAAATTCCATAAATTTATATTTTAAAATTAAATTTGAGATAAAAATATCACAATTCATCTATAAACATCATTGAAAACTAGAATACAACAAAACTGGAACTTAAAACACTTACAAAAATGACTATATGGCTTTTTAAAAGTAAAAAAAAAATGGTAATTAAGTATTACTGCAACCACATTGGTGTAATTTAAGAATTTCTTTAAGCGGGGAATATAATTCTTATAATTGCCCCCAAAAATATTTCTCACATAGATGCATATTTTAAATTTTCATTAGGCACAAGCAAACCTCGTATAACACGGTAGATAAGTTCCTAGAAAATGCCGTGTTGTGCGAGACACTGAGCCAGTATAAAAAGAAGGGTTACGTTCCAAAAACCTATTAAAAACAAACACGGTTAAAAGTCGTTAATCCGAACTCGTCGGGACTTCGACGATTCCGGATTATCGATTTTTCCAGATTATAGATCATCAGTTTAAATCTCGTAAGATGGCATGCAGAAATTCTAAAATTAAAAATATGAAACTGTAATTAATGAAATAAAGAACAATTATGATCTAAAGGGTATCAAAATTTACAAAAAGAAAAAGCTTAATATTTATCTGTTTACTTTATTAAACATTTCTTTCAATGTAAGTTGTTTAAGTTGCTTCGTTTCATGTGATAATACTTTCTCTTTAATTCTATGAAACAGACATAATTTCTTGTTTAGTTACAAAGTCCCGCTGTTTAAGTCCTATAATTGCTGAGTCGAGAATACCGACTAATTTGTAATCGAAATTTTTTAGCTTTGAGGTCCGGATTATGAGTGTCCGAATTAACAACTTTTGACTGTATTCTTTAGTTCTACATAAACAACTTAATTTTTATTAAACATATATATGTATGTGCAGCACAAAACAAAAAATATCACATATTTTAATTTAACGCAACTTTAGCTTAACACATTTCGTACGGTCTATCTAATATACGCAACTATATTGCTTATTGGTAATATGAATAATAGTAATATACAATGTAATATGAAACTTCATAAATGCAGTGTTATCAACTAATGTGTTGAGGGATATGTAGATGCCTCGGCACATAAGAGATATTTATGCAAGTTGATTGGAAATAAGTTGAGTAAGTTAAAAATCTGTTCTAATGAAAATACAGTCAAAATTCGTTAATTCGGACACCCATAATCCGGACCTCAAAGCTAAAATCTTTCTGCGCATGCGCATAGGCGTTTTACGCGTGCGTGCAAGACATTTACGACTGCGCATATGCCTTTGCGCAAGCGCAGAATACGTTTTCACGTGCGCGTTTAATGTATAACGGATGGTATACCCTCTAATTATCTATTTCAGTTAATGTTGATGATTGCGTTGTTCCTTAATCTTCGAATTGTATCCGGCTTATTATTTTTTGCAGACTGTAAGAGCAATTGTATAAAAGTAAGCTTGAACTTTCGATTATGTCAAATAGAATTTCCGATGCTGGAGCTCCCAAAGGATCTAGAAAATGAAAGTATGTTTCGATGTCCATCAAACAAAAAACGAATTGCTACAAAAAATGGATAAAGCCATATCCTTTGTTTATATAACCGTTCTGAAATCTGTTTATCAATTTCACGCTGCTCTGCGCTGGGGGGGGGATGTCACGCAGCGCAATGAACTGAAAGTTGATCTGTCAGCACTATCGTTATCTTCAGGGCAGATGTTTTTATTTTATTCGGCTTATAATTCCTTACTAAATGTAGTATTTAATCTCGATGTACTCTGATATGATTTAAATCAAATTCCTCGTCATTATAAATATCACGAATACACATCAAATAGTTTTCTGGTTGCAATTTTCTAATTTCAGCTATGCGTAAGGTATGCTTTACGCATGTGCACGTTGAAAGAAATGTTTAATAAAGTAAACAAATAAATATTAAGCTTCTTTTTTTGTAAATTTTGATACCCTTTAGATCATAATTGCTCATTATTTTATAAATTATGGTTTTATATTTTTATTTTTTATAATTTCTGCATGCCATCTTACCAGATTTAAACTGATGATCTATAATCCGGAAAAATCGATAATCCGGAATCGCCGAAGTCCCGACGAGTCCGGATTAAAGACTTTTGACTGTATACTAATCCATATATTATATGAAACGTTATTTTTTCCCTTGTGTCACTTAAAAGTGGGGATTTTAAACAGGTACTAATACCTGCCTTGCTTTTAAACGGCAATCCGCAAAATGGTTGCTAGTACCCGTCCCGCTTATAAGTATCAATCTGCGAAATGGGTACAAATACCCGTTACTGCTCATAATGTGTTAATAAATTTCTTCATTGCCACTGCTCAGTATAATCAACCGAAAACATTTTTTTCGGTGGAATGAGATCGCTTTCACTTTTTTCTTCTTCATTTAAAGTTCTGACATTTTCTTCCCTCTTTAAAAAATCTGTAATTTTATTTTGCTTACTAGTTCTTACTGGTGCAATGTAAATTTCTCAATACTATAAGCTAGATAGTTTTGCAGCTGCCTTTTGAATTTTTGACTTATTTCAGCGGCAGTGTGTGCACTCAAGAAGAAAAATGATTCGAAATTTTCAGCTAAGCTTAAGCCTTCTTATAACTTTTTAAAGTCAAATTGTAATTTAAAAGCACACAGCACAGAATCTTACACCCTAGCAGCTTCACAAGCAGCCGATGCAGATTCTTCTTGAATTCTTATGCTATGTATTGCAGGTTGCTTTTTGAAATTTTCGAACCAACCTTTACTTGCCAGAAAATCTGGATTGACAGAGGATTCCTCATGTTCTTTAAGATGCTTGAAAATTGTGAGTGCTTTTTTTTAATGATATTAACATCCAATGAAATTCTTTTTTTGACAGATATTCTTTTCCATCTTCTCAAGTATTGGCGCCCCGTGTCGAACTGCATGTTTTGCGGATGTCAAAAATCTTGCAGCAATTGCACTTCTTATTTCTTTTTCATTTTTCTTAATAGTCCAGAATGTTGCTTTATTCAAATTAAAACTTTTCCCAATGTGAGATGTCTTTTCTCTTTTTAAAAGACGGTTCAAGATTTGTAGTTTTGCTTCTAAAAAAAAATGAATTTCCTCTTAAACATTTTTTTGTCTTTACGAGGCGAATTTTGGGACAGAACCTTAGATCTTAAAGATGAAAGATGAAAAAGTTATTTTTTAACACATCATGGTTAGACGCAGACTGCTGACCAGTAAAATTATTTTAAATAAATATGTTAGAATTAAGTGTATTAAATTCATTTTTTTACAGGATCTTCAAAAAGAACTTCATAAAAATGTTTATTTTTTATTTATTTTTCATAGATTCGTGGCAATAGTTTCTCTTTCACAATATAAATTGCATATAATTTTCAAGGTATGGAGATGAGAATTCTAATTTTAGAAGCCGAACATGCAAGTTGTGCGTTTTAGAGCACTTGTTGTGACCCCATGTTGTTCACCTTCTGCGATAGTGAGGTTTCTTCATTGTTATCTGGTGATTGTGCTCTCTTGAGACTGGGTATTGTTTCTGTTGTGGTATTGAGCTTTGAAGATCATGGAAGGAAACAATTTTCCTCCGTTACTGGGTAAGAATTCAATGGTCGCTCTACACCACATGGCACGTCTTCCTGAGAGCATTTGTTATTGCGGGTACCGGATCTTGGGAGACAACTGGCAGAACTTAAGAAACAAGGATGTGTTAAATGAATGGGTGCTTTGCTCAATATGGAAAATCTTCGTGTGGAGTTCGTTAAATTTCTTCGGATTGTTTGGACAATTTTCTTATGGTGTTAAAGAGAAACCGTGTTACAGGATGCCATGTTGTAGTAGGACTACCTGTATTTATGGCAAAAAATCGACAAATAAACATACAAAATTAATTCTGGAAATTTTTCTGGCTGCTACAAAGAAATTAACCTAAATTATACAAAATTTAATCCAAAACGTATTGGAAACTGGAATACGTCAAATGATTGCCAAAGTTTAGCCACACTCTGAAAATATAATGATTTTTTTTTTAAAGACAGTTGCACTAATACACAAATACCAAATTGTTATGCGCATATTTGCTAGGGTTTGGCACATTCTGAAATTTTTCTGTCTTCTACAAGGCAATTGCGCTAATGTGCATATACCAATTGTTCTTGTATGGATGTAACATGATGAAATGTAAACATGAATGAAATTTAATTTTTTTGTAATATTTTACAGGCAATGTTAGTGAGGTTTAATAGTCATAATTATTTGATTTTTAATCAAGTGAGGAAGTAAAAGCATCATTAGTAATGCTAAATTTATATTTTAATGTACTCTTTTCTTTTTTTAGTAATTTTTTAAAAGAAGCTAATTGCAGTTAGCAGTGCTAGTAGCACTAGCATTACAGCATTCCGAGCTGAACCGTGGCCTTCGAGATAACATGGCCTGGTTAGCTACGAGTGACGTCACGAAAAGC